ATGTTAGCGTCTTTTATTCAGAAATAAACAGAGTGATTCGAGTCGTTTTGGTACTATTTGACTATCACTTTCAAATTAGAAGAGCCCGGATTGTTTATTCGACTAACTGCTGAACAAAACATGAGAGACTTACGATTTTCGTCATTCAGTAGCCAAGACTTTCAAGCATCTTTTCAGCAGTAAGGAGTGTTTGAAGTTATTTTTCAAAAATCTGTTGTCTCAGAGATCTATGGACAAAACACTTTATAACTCGATAACTAAACATCGAAATATATTAGTTTTTTCACGAATAGATAGTCCAAAGTGTCCTCTACAAAAGGGAATCCGAGTGATCTCTTCATTTTTCGTGGTTCAAGCGCGGCATCGGCTTTCGTGGAAGCCTCAGGATCGATATTTGTTTAGGTGTTGTAATCCTGAGAATGAATGGAAACGTTGAAATCTAGTGGAAACCGCTATTAAGTAAAATATATTTTTGCGTATTTTCATGTAAATTTAGAAATTTTCTATCTCAGTCACAATCGATACAAAATACGTCAGAATACCAAGATGAACTCTATTCATCTATGCTATATGGTTTTCTACTTAAAAGGAGTAATAAAATATTCTTTTCCTTCGGAAGATTTCTAGACAACCTTCCAGAAACCAAAGTGTTTTCTGTTGATTTTTAAAACTTTTGCAGAACTTTATGATATAAGCGTAGATGAAACAGAGTACATCTTAGTATTCTGATGTATTTTGTATTCATTGTGACTGAGATAGAAATTTTCTAAATTTACGTGAAAATACGCAAAAATAGGTTATTTTAACTAATAGCGGTTTCCACTAGATTTCTGGAACTTTTGTCAGAACAAAAATATTGCCATGATATGCAGCGGGATCGATTACCTACGTTTCCATTCATTCTCAGGATTATAACACCTAAACAAATATCGATCCTGAGGCTTCCACGAAAGCCGATGACACGCTTGAACCATGAAAAATGAAAAGATTACTCAAATTCCATTTTGTAGAGGACACTTTGGACTATCTATTCGTGAAAAAACTAATATATTTCGATGTTTAGCTATCGAGTTATAAAGTGTTTTGTCCATAGATCTCTGAGACAACAGATTTTTGAGAAAAATAACTTCAAACACTTCTTACTGCTGAAAAGATGCTTGAAAGTCTTGGCTACTGAATGACGAAAATCGTAAGTCTCTCGTGTTTTGTTCAGCAGTTAGTCGAAAAAACAATCCGGGCTCTTCTAATTTGAAAACGGTAGTCAAATAGTACCAAAACGACTCGAATCACTCTGTTTATTTCTGAATAAAAGACGCTAACATATGTATACTTTATATATTTTGTTCGTTCTGTATCATTTGGTCGCTGCGTGAAACATATATAAAATCAGCTGTTAAACAGCTGTTTCAAAGAAAAAGATTGGTCGTTGTATGAACCATCGAACGATACTTGAAGATATCCTCTATCAAACATTAATACGAATCAAAGAGCTGATTCAATTCCATGTTTACTTATGTGCCTCTTTCTAATCCGTTTACATATAAATGAAAAAAGTATATGTGATGTGTAGAAGAAATGTTTTTTTTCTCCTCCCCCCCTATTAGAAGAAGGATAGTATATTATTGTAGTAGGCAAGAATCGTGTAAGATTGAAATTTATAAGTGAGAGAAAAAAAAATGATCGAAGAAGTTGTAAACACGTTTTCTATCACACTTACTATATGAACTCAAAACAGATTTCTTTTCGAACTAGTAATAACTTTAAATGTAATAATCTAATCGTAGTTTAAGTTGAGAACAATCGGCAACTTTTAAGGTTTTTTTTCAATCGTTGTATCAACACTCAAATGTAAGAGGGTTTACGTTTGAGTGGGTAGTGCAACATAAAGCTTCGAATCGCTTTATACAGTGTGTTATTTTGGACTTGCTTTATATAAACAATCACTTTTGTACTACGAATCATTATGCTCTTTCTTATATCAGAAAACATTTTATATACTAAATGAAATGTTTTGTTAGTTTTTAAAAGAGAAGAAGTTGATTGGATGCTATGAAGTTCTACTTCTTTTTTCGAAATTTTACCTCCTACGGACGACACGTATCTTTTACACCTTTATTGCGAACTTTTTCTTCTCTCCTTTGAATCTCTATCATCAAAAAGTTTTGATGTTCTATCATAATTTGTGAAATGTCACTGTTTTTGTTACTTGCATAATTAGATGATGATGATGTCAGCTGTGCATCGTGCGGTTAAATTGTATTTGTTTTGTTTTGTTTTTTTATTTTTTTTTGTTCTTTTATTCTTTTCTAAAACCAATATTATAATAATGTATTTTATTGGAAAAGAGTGTGTGAAGCTGAATCATTCATTTGTCAAAGAACAGCAACAAATCTTGCACATACAGATTTACTAAGATCAAGGTATAGAAAAAAAGAATGTTTACAGAAGGCAACAAGTTCGTTTTATTCTTACCAAACAAGCATTCCTGTATGAAAAGAAATTATATTACCCTGTAAAGGAAGATGGTAGGAAAAACGTTCTCATTAAGAAAAGAGACAAGATAAGATCGTATAAATAGCAGACTTTTTTTTCCCACTTATTTCAACGTGTTTCGCATTTGTTGGCGTCAAATTTTTTCTTCTTCGCATAAATGAGTATACCTGTTTTTTCTTTGCTCATGTTGGTTTTTTAATTAAAAAAATATAATTTCTTCAAATTTGTTATGTCATTTCATCTAGACTGACAATATCAAAATAGAAGAAATTTTTACTATGAGAACATGTTTTGTTCTCCAAAATGTTATTTTTATCGTTTGTTACATAAATGAAACAATTTTTATTCTAATCAAAGATGTAGTCTGTTGATACTGTTATTGACTTCTTCTTCAACATTTTCTCTACTCAGTTAACTCTAGAAAGTATTTTTGACTCAATCTGTCATATTTTTTTTAATCAACTTTTTTGTTTTTTTATTTAGATGCCATCTGTTGCTCATGCTCAATCGACATTATTCTCTACATTGTCAGTAACACCATCCACTCATTATCATCATTTTTATCAAGAATATTTTCGTTGTTCACAATGTACACATGATTTTGATTGTGATCTATGGAAACCTGTGACACTTATATGTGGTCATACAATATGTCGACTATGTTCAAAACAACTGTCAGATAAATGTCCAGTAATTATGAGTAATCAGCAACAACAACAGTGTAATACATTGATTGGAAATATTGACCATTTATACGTTAATTATCCACTATTGAAATTACTTATGGCAAATACAAAGATAGATAACATTTTATTGGTAAAAAGAAAAAAAGCCTTCGAATTTTTTATTCTTTCTTTATTCATGAACTATTTTCTTCTTATACTTTAGATTTCTCAAAGTATCGATATGGAATATCGAAATTGTCCGTTGTACGAACAATTAGATGAAAAATCAAAATCAAGTTTTATTTTAACACAACAATTATTAGTAGTAGGCAAGAATCGTGTAAGATTGAAATTTATAAGTGAGAGAAAAAAAAATGATCGAAGAAGTTGTAAACACGTTTT